TCAGAATTGACTGTGGGTATAGCAAAGAGTTTGGTTTTTGGTATTAGTAGTCAGAACATAGAATGGATAAAGTATAAATCAAGGAATTGGAAATCACAAAAATGAAATTAACTACATGAAGATTCATGTTTTACGCATTAAAAGCAAAACCCAAACCACTGCCATAGAGCCCATTCTCTCTCTTAGTCACCCTGGAAGACATGCTAGAACTGCTTCTGAGGCTTTCTGAGAGTGTAACTCCATCTCTCTCCAAGGGTTAGGTTGAAATAGACTGGCACTAGCCATTTTGAATCAGACTCTCACAATGCTAGGAACAACAAAGTAAAGAGGGACAGTGTTGCCTTCATCACCAAAAAGAACCTTTTGAGATCTCTCTTGAAGAACAATTATGTCAGTGATGGAAAATGTCTATATACCTACAAGAAAGATCAATTATACAACTATATTCAAATATATGTGCCATTCACAATGCCAAAGATGAAGAAATGGAAGATTTTTTATCAACTCTCACAGTCTGAAGTTGCTCAAACATACAATCAAGATGTACTAATTATTGCTGGTGATTGGAATGTAAAAGTTGGAAATGAAGGGCCAGTAATGGAAAATATAAAGAAATGACACCAGAAATTGCATGATGAAATTCTGCAAGACTTATCTATGACATATTTATTGTAAATACATCTTTTATACACATAGATGATGACTATATATATGTACTTCTTGCTAGATGGAATAAACAGGTATCAGATTTACTGTATCTGTAAAGAAATGATGGAGGAGCTCATTATTATCCATCAGGGAAAAACCAGGGATACACTATGGTCAATTGCTTATATGAAAATTCAGGTTGAAGCTGAAGAAACTTAAAACAAGTTCATGAAAGCCTATGTATGACCTTGAGTATATCCTGCCTGAGTTTATAAACTATCTCAAGTATCGATTTGACACACTGAATACTAATGCCCAAAGATTAGACAAATTGCGGATTACATGAAGAAAACCACCAGTCATTAAAAGGACAGGCAAGAGAGGGAAATAAAACAAACAAAATGGATGTCAGAAGAGACTCTGAAACTCATTCTTGAATGTGGAATAGCTAAACCAAATAGAAGAAATGATGAAGAGTTTTAAAAATGTCAAAGAGTGGCTGGAGAAGAAAAAAGTAATATAATAAAATGTGTAAAAGACATGGAATTAGAATATTAAAAGAGAAGAATACAATATTTATCAAAGTGGAGGAATTGAAAAGGAAATCCAAGCCTCAAGTTGTATTATTGAAGGATTCTATGGGGGAAAAAAAAGGAAAGATGCAGGAAGTGTCAAAAGAAAAAGGAAGTATTTCAGCAAGTCTGTACCAAAAAGAGTTGGTTGATATTCACCTATTTCAGAAGGTAGCATGTGATAAAAAACTGATGGTACTGAAGGAGGAAGTCCGAGTTATATTGAAGAGACTGTCAGAAAACAAGACTATAGGAATTTTCAGAATACCAGTTAAAATGCTTTCTGTAAACAATTGGACTTCCCCTTACAGGTCACAAGGAAAAGCCATTCAGGCCGCAGTATGCCACCAATGAAACATACAACTTTCCTCTAGTTCTTTAATGCTTCCTCCCTCACCTCCACTACCATGACCCCAATTCTACCTTACAAATCTGGCTAGACTAGAGCATGTACAACGGTACAGATAAGAGCTGGAAACACAGGGAATCCAGGACAGATAAACCCCTCAGGACCGATATTGAGAGAGGCGATACCAGGAGGGGAAGGGGAAGGTGGGGTGAGAGAGGGGGAACCAATCATAGTGATCTATGTATAACTCCCTTCCAGGGGGACAGACAACACTAATGCCCAATTAGTGGGGAGAAAGTGGGGGAAGGGAGACATCGGTCAGTGTAACATGAAAAAATAATAATAATTTATAAATTATCAAGGGTGAGAGAGGGAGGGAGGGAAAAAAATGAGCTCATACCAAGGTCTCAAGTGGAAAAAAAATATTTTGAAAATGATGATGGCAACAAATGTACAAATTTACTTGACACAATGGATGTATGGGTAGGTTGTGATAAGAGTTGCATGGGCCCACAATAAAATGATTAAAAACAAACCCAAATGTGAACTAGAAATGCTTACTCATCCACTGCTAAGAAATTTGGAAGGAAGCTACGTGACCTGCTTACTAGAAAAAAATCCATATTCATGTCATTCCAAAGAGAGGTGATCTAATGGAATGTAAAAATTATTGAACAACATCATTAATGTCACATGTAAGCAAAATTTTTTGACAATTTTTAACATGCTATATAATCCATACATCAATAGGAAACTGCCAGAAATTCAACCTGGATTCAGAAGAGAACAAAGAACAAGGGATATAATTGCTGATATCAGATGACCTTGTCTGAAAGTAGAAAATACCAGAAAAATGTTTGCATGTGTTTTATTTACTATGTAAAGGCATTCAACTGTGTGGATTGTAACAAATTATGGATAACATTATGAAGAATGAGAATTTCAGAGTAGTTAATTGTGCTCTTATGGAATCTGTCCGTAGATAAAGAGGCAGTCATGCAAATAGAACTAACAGATACCGCATGGAAGAATCAGAAAAGGTGGGCATCAGAATTGTATCTTTTCTCCATATTTAGTCAATCTATATCATACTTACCCTTGTGAAGAAGAACATGCATCAGAATTAGAGGAACCTGTGATATGCAGGTGACATATCAAGCAAGGTTTTGCTTCCTGCAAGTGGAGAGGACTGGAAGCATGGACTGCTGGTTATCAAAGACGACAGCCTTCAGTATTTATTGATTACACCTCAACATAAAGAAAACAAAAATCTTCACAAATGGACTAGTAACCAACTTCACACTATTTGGAGAAAATACTAAAGATTTCATTCTATTTGGAGCCTTAAACATGCCTGGGTGGTGCAGAATCAGAAAGTATTCTGTTTTGTGAAACAGACACTATGCCTTCTATTTTTCCTTGCTTCATGGGGTGAGGGGTTGTGGTTATCTTGCCATATTTTGAAAGGGTGCTTCCAAAGATTTTTCTACTACATATTATCCTTCCATCATGGGTTGCCAGAAGCATCGGGCTGTTTACATTCTCTAGATCTGTATTATCTAATACAGTAGCTACTAGCTGTATGTCTGTGAGATAGTTTATTGTGCCAGCCTGGCCAATAAACACAAGTGGGATTAACTGAAGGGCGGAGAGATAAATGGCTAGGTGAGCCTCGCCTTTCTTGTCTCTCACTCTTTGATCATCAGACCAGTGTGCAGCTTGCCTTGCTTGTTCTGTGCCTCAATTTACAGGCTACACTGCATGTGGGTCGCCTAGCCTATGAACTGTGTCGCTGTAAATTGAGGTCCCTTTAAGACATCTCTGAAGCTGGGGACTGGTGGTTGGTGACCTGGCTGACAGTTGGTGACCTGCCTTGTGATTGGCTGCTGTGCTGAGATAGCCTAGCTCTCTCTATAGAGAGAGGAAGACCTGGCAGCAGACTAGACTTGAAAGACTGCTAGTGTCTCACAACTCTCTCTCACGGGAGTGAGTTGCACTGAGCCATTTGTACTGCTTTATAATTTAACTGTTCATTTCTTGTATTATATATTTATCTGTATATAATTTAACAGTTCATTTCTTGTTATATATCTAATTATTTTTATAAATAAATATATTAAATTATCAGCAATTTGGTTTTATCTCTCTAGAGAACCCTGTCTAACACAGTCTGTTTAAATGTAATAAATGAAATATCATACAAATGCATATCCTAACTTTTACTAGCTACATTTCAAGTACTGAATAGCTAAACATGGCTAATGACTACGCCTTATTAGACAACTCAAATATAGAACATTCATGTCACTGAAGAAAATTTCTGTTGCTGTAGACATTAATAGTCTATACACTAATTAAAGAGGATATATTTCTAGAGTGTTCTAGAAGGTACATTCAATTCACGTCGCAGGCCTCTGAACATCCACTTTGAAGAATCTGGTAGCTTTTTACTCCAGACTTTTCGTTCATTATATTACTGGCTTTGAATAAACATGAATACATTCACTTCCCCATAAAGATTGCATTACATAATTTTAAAAGGTGTCAACAGAGGAATTCAAAAGGAAAAGAGGCAAATAGGATTCTAGCAGATTATCCATAGGGTAGTTACTCACCCTGTAAATGGTAGTATCATCAGGTACTAACTAGTATTAGGATCAGGGTGTTGCAATATCCTTTCTGTAAGTTTTTTTTTTAGTATTCAGGAGTTTTATTAGCAGTAATATCTGAATTTTCCCTGTGAGAAAGGCAAAAAACAACAAGTGCTTCCTTAATAATCTCAGCTATCTTTATTGTGCATTTATGAAACCATTTTTTTCTTGTGTTCTTCACAACAATTTAGTGAAATAAGTTCAGGATTATCACCCTCATTTTACTGATAGGAAAACTGAAGCTCAGTGTGCTTAAGATAGTTAGCTGACGTCTTAAGGTCCATAACGTTAAGGTAAAATAGAGTTGCAACTCTTAATCGTAACTTCCAGTTTTGCATTTGTTTTGTTTCTGCTATTATGCAGCAAATTAAACTGTTAAATGAAGGAGTGATGGAACAAATCAGACTGTTAAACGAAGGAATGATGGATCTTTAGGAGAACCAGGAAACTAGTGTTGTGTAAACTGTCACTACAACCTCATTTATCCTATGACCATATTACTGGGTTCTCAGTATCTCTTGATTGTTTTGCCTTAACCTAGATAGAAACTATGTTTATTCAGTGTCTGCATAGAACCAAATGTAATCAAAAACTGCATTCATTATTTCTGGGAGTATAGAGATTTAGGTAAAATTGAGCTTATGTTGATTGCTACCTTCCAACCCTGAAATTTTCTATAACTAAACCTATCTATCTAAATATATCTTTTCTTTATAATGTAGCACACAGTTTATTGACAGTTAAATGGCCTAAATACTTTCTCCTGGCCTCATTTTATAGATGGAGACATTAACATACAGAGAAGCTAACTTGCCAAAGTTCAGAGCAAGATATTGGTGGATCCTGGGATAAATCCTAAGTCTCTCAACTTCTTGACCAGTTTAGTCCATTGACTATGCAGCCTAGTGGTAAGTTGTTTTTTTCCCTTTTTATTTTATAATCCTATCCTGAAGGTAAGAAGGATTAAAAGACCTAGCAAGGACTGAATTGAAAGAATTTATTACTAAATAGACCATTAATTGTTCTTTTCTTTACAACCATGATGTTATTTTTGTCATTGGCATGAATTTTCCAAGTTGGGAGAAGAGGTTGTAAGTTTTGCTTTTTAAATACCTAAAAAAATTCTGTAACACCTATCTTAGGTTCTCTAGAGAAATGGAACCATACATATTACTGTGTATACTCATAACATGCACACACCCAAATTTATTTTAGGAATTGGTTAATGCGATCATGGGCTGACAAGTCCAAACAGCAGGCCGAAAATTCCAATATGCTGGTGTCTGAAATCAGTAGGCCAGGTGATGGGCTGGAAATTCTAGCAAGGTGTCTCTTTGTACACTCGTGGCACAATCTTTCTCCCTAGGGAAAGCTCACTTATTGCACTTAAGCCGTCAGTTGATCAGATGAGGCCCACCCATTTTGTATTGTCACTGAGACTGGATTTCACTTTTTTCTGGAAGTATTTTTTTCTATATTCATTGGGCTGCTTTTGAATATTGTGTTGTTAATGATCTTGTTGTCTGGTCACAATTTCTCGTGGCTTCCTTGAATCAGTTTTTTGTCTTTACTTTAGTAATGTGGTACTAAAAACTTGAATATAAATGGACTATATGTCACATGTTTAATTTTCAATCATAGGTTCTTTTGGATTATAAAATTGTGAACAGTTTAAAACAAATTCATTCTCATTACATAGTATCTTTTGTCTGTTAGAAGTTAAACCTGATCTAGTTTTGAATTTCATTTAATTAATTAACATTCATTTAAATTAATAAAGTTACAGAAACTAAGTACCGTATATACTCGAGTATAAGCCGATCCTAATTTTACTGCAAAAACTGCATAAAAAAGTCCTTTAAAAACTTGGCTTATCCACGTGTATCTACAGGTAATTAGGTATTGTGATTAGGTACTGACTTCACTTTACTAGTAATTTGGAGAATAGACATAGCAGGTTACTAGAAAGAGGACATCCAACCAGGAGAGGAGACAACAGTTGGATTACAACACTGGCCAGGTGGCAATATAGTAGACAAGACAAAGTCATATCAGACAAGATCAGAGAAAGGGGCAGGATCCAGATCCTGCATGGCACCTGGACTAAATGGGATGCTGTTTAAGATCCTTATGCTGTAAAATGACATCTATGTTATGTCTTAAAGGGTTCTGACATCTATGTGGAAAATGGATTGGAGTTAAGCAAGAGTAGTAGGAATACAAATTATGAGGCTATCCTAATGGCTCAGGTGATAGATAGGTCATAGTGACTAGAACTAGATGAATTGTTAAATTAGGAGTGATGGATAGATTGGGGATTTGGTCCAACAAAAGTACTACTAGCCTGGATGGTAGGTATAAAAGAAATGAATGTATAGAAGAAGTGGAAGGACAATTTTGAGAAGTTTGATTTGAACAATTAGGTGCCATTTAATAGGTTGGAGAAGTCTAGAAGAGGAATAGATTGGCAGGGGATAGAATCCAGGATTTTGTTTTAGCCATATTGAGTTTGAAATAGCCGATTGATATTTATGTGGAGATAGTAGTTGTATATGGGAATGTAGCATTCCAAAAAGAGGTCAGTGTTATAAAATACTAATTTAGGAGTAATCTCAATGGGATGGTGAATAGAAAGGTCCTGTTTGAATGTGTTGAGGGTATAACTTGAGAAGTAGGAAGCAATGACTATAAACAACTCTTTGAATATTGTTTATAATGCAGGAATGCATAAGTTCTATGTTTGCCAACTTGCTGCCACAAAAAGATATTTTCATAAGGTCATTGTGCCAATTGTTTCTTACATGTCGATGTAGAAAAAATAGTATAGTACACTTAATGAAGTGCCTTATGGGGGAGGGCAGGTTGGCAAATAAATGTAGAACCTGTATTCTGTTTACTTAAAAAGACTGTATGTTTTCCATTAAGCAGAACAGAGAAAAGGAATGATGTAGCAGGAAGGCTGTATGTGGAAGAGGGTTGCAAAGAGGCAAAGGGCAGGGTGGATGTGTTAACTGGGTTGTCTAGAGAAACAAAACCAGTGACACTCAAGTATATATAAGAAAGAACTTTCAGGGAGTGATTTTACATCAAGAAGGTATCCCAGCCCAAGCTGTCTTCAGACTCACCTAGCTGCAGGAAGATGGCACAGAAAGGTGAATCTGGAGGCAAGGAAGGCCACTGGATGAAGTAACATGGACCCAAGGCTGGTGGGAGCTTGGCAGGGTACTGACACCTCCCAGGGTGGGTGACCCTCCCAAAGGGGACCACCCCTGGAGGCAGACACAGAATCCAAGCAAGCAGGAAGACAAAAGGCAAAAGAAAGAGAGAGGTCCCCAGTGTCTCTCTTATAAAGAGGCCACATGCCAAAGGAAGCATCATCAGGCTGTGACCAGATTGGTAGGTTGGATTCCACCCTTACACTTAAGTGTGAACCTGAGTACCAGTTGACATATAATGTAACTGCCACATATTGTGTGTACCTGCCACATATTGTGTTGGGGAATTTTTCTGTTGTTGTTGCTAGTAGGTAATGGGGTAGTATGTATGTTGATATGAAGGATTCTATTAGAAAGGGGATTCTTGCATAGTTCTTGGGAGAATAAGAGACATTAGAATCTGGAGCAAAAATGGAAGCGTGGCTTTTGATAAACATATAAAACAACACAACACTTCATCCATAGGAGAGCTGGCAGAGAGAATGAAGAATGAGTTGATTCATTCATCAAACATTAAATGAGCACCTAATGCTGTACTGTGCATTAGATCTACAACTAGACCTGGCCAAATCCCTATCTTAATTAAATGAGTAGTATATAAAATTAAGATTTTATATACTGAATTAAGATCATCCTCTAAGAGTGAGTTTGGGCCAGGGGATATATGTATCATTTTAGAGTGGTGAGTAGATTCTGAATCATAGTGACTCTATATAGGATTTTTGAGGCTGTAAATCTCTCCACACCACCTCATCATGAGGAGCTGCTGGATCTGTACTGCTGCATTTGCTTTTTTCAGCACTTTTGCGCTGCTGTGGTAGCATGAGATAGGTGGATATTTGGCTCTATCCAAAATTAGGATTGTGGTTTTACTAAGCAAGTTTAACCATAAAAGAGGCAGGGGGAAATTAAGAGTGTTTGCCAGGAGTGATTAGAAGGAGAGACCTTGGAATTTGACTAAGAAAAGTGAAGACATAATAGGTGGTGTGATTGATGGCGGGAAAGTGGTAGGGTCAGGAAACTAACTTGAACTTTCAGACAAGGAAAATGTGTTTCCATGATGTAAGTAATATACTGTCTTTGTGGAAAATATGAAAATAATAGAAGTTAGAAAATGGCAAGGGGAAAAAACATAGGGTGCTGCTATCCAGAGATAGCCAGTTTCTGTTGTATTTCGCCCTCTCATTAAATACATTCATTTTTGCAGAAGGGGTGGCATCTTTTCTGCCTTAATTTTCTTACATAATTGTGATTATCCCATTAATTAATATTTTACTAGAAACATTGCTTAAACATACCTTATTTTGTTAAATAGCCTTTGTCAAACTTTAATGGCTGCAAAATACTGTGTTTTAGATTATTTCCTTAGACTAGAATCCAGAAGTGGATCACTTTATTTAAAAACTCCTGATACAAAAACCCCCAAAAATCCTGATACAGACTGCCAAAGTAGAAAAATATTAAATCTTGTATTTTCTTTTTACGTGATTACCTTTCTCTTTCTTTAGTAATAGACTGGAATGATGTTAGGAAACACAAATATGGTCACCTATCAGAGTCTACATCCCAATATCAAGGTGAGAAAAACATTTAGCATGGGAAATTTTATGTGACATCCTTTTCCATAAAACCTTTTTTTAAAAAGAGGTCTAAATAGGGGCTAATTTGCCAGTAACGGGTTTGCTTTCGTTTGTTTTAATTATACAAATAACTCAGTGATGAAAGCAAAATTGAATATCGTGCTTTATAAAGATATCTGTTAAAAGCAATGCTTTGTTTGGGGCTGGAAGTTAGGAAACCTAGACTTAGAGTACAGATAATCCCAAATTAATGTCATAGTTTTATTCAGTTCTTTAGCCTTCCTGAATCTCCATAGTGTCATAAAAATTGAGGCATGGTGCACTTCTAAATCTACTCCTAATAAACCCAATAACATTTAAGGTGAGAGAATTAGACTAGGCAACTCTCAAGTTCGATTTCACTCCAGAATGCTTGCCCTGATGACTTATGGTGAACCTTTTCCTCTTTTTTAATAGAAACTGCTGACATCCTGGAGCTAGGTAAGATATTTTTTTTCTTGCTTTTCCTGTTAAATAAGGAAATTTCTAAATCAGGGATTAGACTATCCAGTTTTAATTTAATCAACTAGAAAACATTGTGTATGTTTCTGGTTTATAAACCCATGAATCCTGTGCTCTTGTCTGCCTAATAAGCCCATGCACCTAATTAAATCTCAGTTGTCACTTCAAGTCCTCCTTATCTGAAGACAACAGAGCAGCTAACAAAAAGAAGGGAGGGGGCTAATTACATAGAGTACAGAGAGGAACGGGAGCTGAACCAAACTCTGAAAGTAACTTCTTATTGCACAGAAGTCACAGCTAAAATAAAACCCCACTGTCCATAAATCAGGTTGGTGGGATTTTCCCAAAATAAATTATTCCTGAGGTAATTGGAACTGAAATTAAACCTAGATATTTAAAATTTTTAATAACTAAAGAAAAACTGATATATTAAAATATTGTTAAGTAAAGAATATTCAGACTGATATTTCATTTGATTTTCATCCAGTTCTTTGAACTGGTTTTTCCTGGTTAGTATGGTCAATGAAGCAAAACCAGAGTGGACTCAAATTTGTTAAATGTGAGTTTACTTGAATGATAACCAAATCTGATGGAAGAATTTACAGGTTGTTACCCTGCTAGAAATTTAACTTCCTTCTCAGAATACAAAGGTAGTATGCACGTTGTATAGCAACCCAATCTCTTCACCAGCAGAGGCAGAAACAATGGTGCCTGGTTCAAAATGATGGTGATTCTGTGGCTTTGAATGTGTGTGTTGCTCTTTGTAGTCCTGGCAGTAATTCCATCTCATGCATCAGGCTTCTGCAAGGGCTCAGTACCCCTTTTCTGAGTTCTCATTCTAGGGCTTCCACCCATAATTCTTCCTGGACCTGTTATTGTTCTGGATACCCACCTTTTATAAATTTAGATTTGTTTCAATGTCACTGCATCGGCGATTACTAAACTGGAAAGACTCAGTTTGAAGCGTGGCTTTCATTTCTGCTTACTGTACTTCAAGAACCAAGATAGTAGGAATTAAACTAATGATAATGATGTTTTTCATCAGTCTTCACTTTTTAAGTCATTTAAAATCTATTTTTTACATGTTACATAAATAATATTTGGTATTTTAATGCTGTTTATCAAATATTTTTTTACTGCAACATCATGTATCCAGTTCTTTTATTATCACTATTTGCTTCCTCTTGTCTTTTCTTCCTATTACATATATCTGTTCACTGTGTACTGAGTAAAGTAGTAGAGCACTGGACTCGTCAGAACTTGTGGGCTTTTGAGAGCCAACTTTGTAACTCTGATCCTTAGTTCCTTGATTTATAAACTGGGATTGTTAAGAAGATTACATGAGGTAGTGGATAGAAAAACATTTTTAAGGCTCTCAAATACTTTTCAACTTTGGAGGAATGTTATAGTTTTCATTCTGTATTCAAAGCTTACTTAAAACAAGTCAAATCTGTGATGTTGTTTGAAACGACATACTATATGAATGTGAGCTGAAGAAATGAATGAAATAATGCAGGGAAAGTGCCTAACACTTGGTAAATGATAGAAATTTTTATATTTCTTAAAACTTAGCTCACGCTTTCAAAGGTACTTTTCTGAAATGGAATAAACCATAGATGTAGGAGTCAGATAAGCCCTCTGTAAAATTTCTATCCCCATCGTTTACCAGATTTATGACTTTGGGGAAACCACATAATCTTTAGGGGTCTATTTCTTGATGTGTAAAATGAGAATAAAAGCTACTCTGCGAATTATTACAAAACATTTGAGCTATTGAACAAGATATTGGCATCAAGCCCACTGCCATTGAATCCATTTTGACTTATAGCAACCTGATAATAGAGTTTCTCAAAGGTTGTAAATCTATCGGAGCAGACAGCCTCATCTTTCTCCTACTAAATAGTGGTTTTGAACCTTTTGAACTTGTGATTAGCAGTCCAGTGCTTACCTTACAGTGCTACCAAGGTGTATTAGTCTAGGTACTTTGGAGAAACAAATCCCCAGCGACTCATGTATAAGAGAGAGTTTTATGTAAAGAAAATGTGCATCATGAAAACATCCCAACCCAATGCTGCCCAAGCCCACAAGTCCAACATTAACCCATTAACCCAACACCAGTCCACAAAGTCCTCCACCTCACAAAACAGAGGCAATGATGCCGACTGCAGGAGGAAAGCTGAATCAGTGAACGAACAAGCATCTCAGCACTAGCAGGGTCTCCACACGGCTGCTCCAGCACCCAGGGCTGCATCAGGATAGGTCCATGTAGCTTCTCCTTTGGGCTGTCTTGTAGGAAGTCAATCTTGCAAGCTGAAGCAGGGAACTGCTAAGGCAGCTGCACTCGGTGCAATCATCACAAAACAAGAGACCCGAGAACTAGAAAGGCGAGGCTCACCACCCATTTATCCCTCCGCCTTTCAATTAGCCCCACATGTGATTATCGGCCAGGCTGGCACAATTAACCAACTCACAAGGATTCTTATAATCTGGCATAATTCAGGTAAAAATACAAGGTGCATGATGATTGTTGCTACTGATTTTGGTTTTGTTAGTAATGTGAATGATAATAACAATTATAACCTAATGACAATTTAGACATGTTTTTAACAGCCTATTTGTTGACAGAATAGGCCTCATGATCAGTAGATACTGAACATAAATGCACAAGACTTTAAGTGATGTGAAAATTTAAAAGCTTTTAAAAAAAATTAATAAATAATTTTATTGGGGGCTCTTAGAACTCTTATTACAATCCATACATAGATACATACATTGTATGTCAAGCACATTTGTACATTTGTTGCCCTCATCATTCTCAAAATATTTGCTTTCTACTTGAGACCTTGGTATCAGCTCCTCATTTTTTCCCCTTCCTGTGAGAGTGTCAGACAAATGAATCCTCTGATAAATTAATCCTGCATATTTCTTTTCTCTCATCAAGCATAAGAGCAGCGTCGAATATTACACTGAAATAAAATGCAATAGATGTGCTAAATCTCAGAATTGGAAGAGATCTTTAAAATAATCTAAATCTGGTCTACCATCTGAAATTTTTTTGTTTCTTATAAGACATCATGTCAAAAGGTCACTCATTTTCTACTTGCACTTCTAAAGTTGTTGGGAACCCCTAGCTTTCTCAACCAACTCACTTCATCTTGAGACAGATATATATTGAGCCCAAATAGTTTTATTTGTAATGTCTATTAATTTTACTTAGAAAGCAATATTTTATTGCGTTTTTGGTGAAAGTTTGCATAGTAAATCAGGTTATCATTTGTCAATTTCTATACAAATTTTTTCTATACAAAGTGACATTAATCATATTTTCTGTAATGTGTCAATATGCTCTTTGTATTCTGGTTGTTTTGTTCCAGTACTCTAGTTTCCCTGCTCCCTTATTTTCTCATCTTTGTTGTAAAGTAATGTTAACCTTTTGATCTCTCATAGATTTTTATATTTTATTTTTAGTAGAGCATCATACTACCTGCCATTGCGTCAATTCTCACTTTTAGCTATTCTGTAAGACAGAGTAGAATTGCCCCTATGGGTTTCTAAGGCTGTAAATCTTTATGAGAACTTTGAACTGCTGACCTTGTGGTTACCAGCCTAACATGTAACCTACTATGAGGGCTCCCCCAAAAGAGCAGCATACTTATGGGTTCTATTCTTTAATTTGTGTGCCACTTTGATGGTTCAGTAAAATGGATCTCTGGGAATACTTTCTTCCTCTTCCTCCTCTTCTTTCTTCTTCTTCCTCCTCTTCCTCCTCCTCCCCCACAAACCATTTAATTAGCTAATCTAGACATCATATCATTCTATAGTACAATCACATCAGGTAGTACTGTAGAATTGATACCAAAGTCAGTGTCAAAACGTTTTCTTCCTTCTTGAACTCCTTGATATCAGCTTCCCTTTACCCCCTCACCTCCTCCTCTCAACCCCTCAGGAACTCTTACTCTAGTTTTTGTCTCTATAGGTTCATCAATTCTGGGTTTCATACACCAAAAAACATAAAAACATAGCAAAGATTCAAGAAGGCTACCCACAATGACAAACTACAAAAAGATAAACTCCAATATGAGAAAAACCAGAAAATATTAAAAAAACCAGATCCAGCCCAAAGTATATCAGAGGGGAGATGAAATGATACAATTTTAACCATTCATGTCAGATTTTTTCATTTTAATCTACTATAGTCATCTCTCCAATACTCTGTCTGGTAACCAATTTATTCCTATCCTTACTTTTTCATCAGAGGCATATTTCCCTTGTAGATCATGTAAATATTTTGGGCTTCCACTATCATCCATAGTTTTCTGCACATCTGAATCACAATTTAAGCTCTGATACTATTCCCTCCTTTGGATTTGGGTTGTTTATATAATTCAATTGTAAATTATAAATTATGTTACAATCCTTGGATCATAGATGTTGGTGTGCTTCTTCCATATGAGTTTAGTTGACATCTCACTTTGGTGGCTGCTTGTTTGAAAACAAGCCTTTAAGATCTCAGCTGCTCTTTTTTCGGATAGCCAGACACAATCCAATTTCTTTACCACACTTTGCTCTAGCACCCATATCTTCTGTGCTTGCTTCATGAGGGCGAGTATTGGGCAGGACCATATTGTAAGAACTAACTGTTCTTAGATTGGAGCTAGGATTAAGTGCGAGCCCCAAATCCATTCTTCAATCTACTTTTTAAAAATCTGCCTCTGGCTCACTTTAAAGACATCCTTGATATTTTGAATTCACTTAAAGAGTATTTCAGGGCAGTTATCTCAGGGAATCCTCTGATCTCAACTAGTCTAGTAAGTCAGGCTTTTTTTTTTTTTTAAGAATTTGTGTTGTGTTCTACACATTTTCCTCCCATCCTATCCAGAACTGTCTATTGTAATCCCAGTCAGAATGATCAGTATTGGTAACTAGGTACATCAAAATTTTTGGTGCTAGAGTAGATGAGACTGTGGCCTCATGTAAGC